CGACTCCTACCACCGCTTCGCCGTCGACGACGACGACAACCGTCCCCGCAAAAGACGCGCTCGCGCACCCCCTCCAGGCCCAGACCAATGCTTCTTCTGTCTCTCCAACCCCAACATCGCAACCCACCTCATCACCTCCATCGGCGACGAAGCCTACCTCACCACCGCAAAGGGCCCCCTCCCCACCTCCAAAACCTTCGCCTCTTCCTCTCTCAACTTCCCCTCCCACATGCTCATCATCCCCTTCTCCCACTCCCCCACCCTCTCCAGCATCTCAGACCCCACCTCCAGACAATCCACCTACGCCGAAATGCACCGCTACCGCTCCGCCCTGCACTCCATGCTACGCCACCGCGCAAACAGCTCCCTCGGCGCAGTCACCTGGGAAGTTTCCCGCGGAAACGGCATCCACATCCACTGGCAATTCCTCCCTGTGCCTGCTGATCTCGTGCGCCGGGGTCTCGTCGACGCCGCATTCAAAGTCGAGGCCGAGAATCTGAAGTATCCGAGATTCGAATCTCCATCTCAACCCAATGATGGTGATGAGAGCGCCGAACCGGGTGACTTCTTCCGCGTGTGGATCTGGGAGCCCCCGCAGGCTGTTGCTGCTTCAGACACTGAAGCTGCAGCTGAAGCTGAAGCTGGGAAAGACAGTGAGAAGAGTGGTGATAAAGGTAAGGAAAAAACGCTTCTCCTCCCTCTTAGTCCGGACTTCCGGTTCGATCTTCAATTCGGACGCAGAGTCATGGCGAAGTTGATGGGGTTGGAGAAGCGCATTAATTGGAAGGATGATGTGCAGTCGGTGCAGGAGGAGGAGGCGGATGCGGAGGCGTTTAAGGAGGCGTTCAAGGAGTGGGATTTTACGTTGGAGTAGATGACTACTACTATTTTCTCTAGGATTTATACTACTGGAATTTGGTATTCAGGTGGGTGAGTTGGATCTTGTGTGGTGTTATATGTACTATATCAATGAAATATTTTGCTGAGATTTGAGCTTGCTTTCATATACTATTGAGGATTACCCCATGGTACTTATAATTATTAGGGAGAATAGTCTGCACATAGTTTTGAGTACTACCGAATCAACGGTTTTGTATTTTCTCAAGAATCACTCTAATAAAGCCACTCGGGTAACCCTATCCAGGCATGACAGGTGTCGTTCGTTATAGTGTCTATCATTTGATTCAAACATACATCATGCAAAAAGGGTTCGGTTTGGTTGGGTCATAGCGGGCCGGAGATACGAAGGGAAGAAACTGTATGTACAAGCGGGATGAAGAGGAAGGGCACTGGTCACCAGAGCACCTGGTGACGAAGCGACAGGGGCTCTAGAAAAGAAGGGATGCCGGATAAGGCATCACAAGTCTAGCCAATAGATTTGGCTGTTGCAATGTGGCTTGGAGCGGCTTGCATGGACTTGCAGGCTCGATTTAGAAGCCTGCTTTGACGCGTGGGTGTCAATGTGTCCATCACGCTGCTCCCATGGATGGACGTTCCAAGCACATGCGAGTAGGGTCAGTATCAGTCACGAGACTAATTGCTGAAAGTATTGTGGTTACTGATAGTCAAAGGTGACTTAAAAGTTGGTAGGCCTGCGTCCGCTCTGCAAAAGACTTGGGGGCCGGCCCGGTTCATTGGCTTCGCGAGGCGCAGGGGTCGTAGAGAATGGAGGAGGGGGCGACGTGGGAGTCGCTGGGGACATGTTGCGGTATGGCGGTGCCTGGAAGCCGGGGGAAGGCTGGCGGTACGGGACCGGACGAGGCGCATTCATGGCCGAGTGGAGCGTCGGAGCTGGAGAGAAGGTCCTGTTAATAGGCATCGGCTGTCCGTACGTGCCGGTATCCGGAGGCATCTGATGCTGCGGCATGTAGTGCGGGTGCGCAGGCTCTGGGGGCATATAGTTCGGGTGCATGCCGTCCATGGGCATCTGGTATGGCTGCATGCCATCCATAGGTGCATGATGAGGCTGAGTCGCGTCCATAGGCATATACTGCGGTTGCGTGGTATAGGTGGGAGCCGGTGACATGTTATGGAAGCGGTCCTCGTGAGGATACTCGCTGTAAGGCTGGTGCTCATATGGAGAAACGGGCGGAGGCGACCGTGGGCCGGGCGCGTGATAGCCATATGCGTCCGGTCCATCATATCCGTCGTATCCTCGAGGCTCAGCATGGTATGCGCCTGGCGCAGCAGGCGTTCCAGTCCTCAATGGCGCAGCAGGCGTTCCGGTCCTCAACGGCGGAGGCCCCCCGTAGCCTCCCGTAACAGACCGGGCTCCAGAGGGCATGCGACGAGGCTCCTGGTTCGCATTGCTCAGAGGCTTCATCTCGAGTGATTCCGCGTGGGGGTTCTCATCCTCGACCTTCTTTGTCACGGCGCTTTCCCAGGTAGGCATGGCGGGCAACGCATCCTCGTCAAACTTGCCGTTGGCAGGACTCGACGGCGTATCGAATCGTGCAACCTCTGCTCCACGGTACACGGGCGGTGCCTGTGGTTGGTAGGGTGTCTGATAGGCATTGTTCATAGGTGCTGGCATGGTCGGCATAGCAGGCATGGGGGGCGGTTGATCATATTGGTCGTCCAAGTACTTTTGCTTGTTCCTCTTTCTCTTGAAACCCGGACAGCACTTGAAGCAACATCCACAACAGCATTTGCAACATTGCACACCACAGCACAGGCAATTGATCACGCAAGCGACGACGGAGAGGACAATCAGCGCGGCGATGATGATAGCGACGATAACGGGCCACCTAGGTAGTAGTCTGGGTCAGAAGGCATCCAACAACCAACAATTGAAACAGAAACTCACTTGCAGTAAGCCTTGGACATGCACTTGTCCCAACTAGTGAACGTACTGGCGTCGGACTTGAGATCGCTCACGACATCCCTCGCCCACAAGGGCACGGGAGCCTTATCCACCGGACTCATTATCCTGGCAAGACGTGCGCGATCCACCGGGAAATCCTTCGAGTCCCACAGCCGACCAAAGACGGTATAGAGCGTGTTCCTGACACACGGCGGGCGTAATCATGCAACAAAAGCACGGTATGAGATAAGCGACTGTGTGCACCAAGGGATAGTTTCTTTCAATCCGGTTTTCGAAGTAAGTTGGTTTAATGAACGGTTAGCAGAGACACATCTGGCTTTGCCTTCTGACACTGATTTGGTATCGTAATGAGTGGCTCAATTTGCGGCGTTGCGCGACAGTCGCACCGAGGGAAGGGAGGGAGAGGAGAGCGCGCAAGTGCTCAACCAGGCGATCGGAATTGATTCAAGGAGAGACACAAGAAATAGTGATAATCTATTCTTGTAAAAAGGAGAGACTTCCTCCAAAACAGGGAGGATGAAAGAGAGAGATCCGAATCGTCAGATGAAGATGGACGAGAGAAAAGCAATGAATGTGGAAATTAATGATGGTTGGTAGTAGTGGTGGTGGGTGTGTAGTGCGGACCGCGAAACAGTGCGCCGCCACAGCCTCCCAGGGGAATTGGGATAGATTTATCGGATCATGTGCAGATCGCCAGGGAATCTGCAAGGCGGACACAATAACTCGCCAGATGCGATACCTCCTCGAACCACCAGCAAAGGAAAGACTCTGGTCGTGAGGGGTGAAAAAGTTCGTCCCTAAGGCCGAAAGAAAGGAAGGGATATGGGGTAGGGAAGGGCGACCGAAAGAAGGCAAACAAGAAGAAAACGAGGGATGCAAACAGCGGGTTTAATTTGATTTAAATTCGGCTGGGGAGGAGAAGAAGGAACAGGCACTTCAACTCAGGAACAGGAGATCAGCGCGCATTGCGGAGAGCCACTCACTGCTTTAGTTTTTGCTGTCCGCCCATCGCAATTGAATTCAGGCGAGCGACTGTATTTACACTGCTATACACATAGAATCGCACCACTGGATCGGGTGTAATACCAGTGTCTGACCGGGTCAGGGAGGGTTAATCTGTCTCGAACCCAGCTAACCAGCAGATGAAACCGCCCGTTTCCTGCCTCGCCGGACCCTCTCCACTGCTGTCGATCTCTCCCATCGCATGGCCTTTTCCTCTTCCTCTTCTGCTGTTCCAGCATGCTGCCCATTCTCATTGGCAGTCGCGGTGCCCACCCCAGCATGGTGGTATACATGGGTGCGTTTCTTGGGACCGACACTCAGCCTCCCGAAGTTCTACACAATCCACTGTATTTCCATTCGTCTTTTGAGGTCCCTATTCAGATATTCTCCGAGCAATACGAGAGATATAATTTCACTTATCTACGAAGTACTATCTGCTACTCTGCTACTTATCAGTTACTTTGAACGCCGCCAAGGGAAGGGGTATCCCAACAGGTCGTCCAGGGGGAAGGATAATCACTGATCGCTTCCCACCCCCCGTTCGCCCTTCACAGACTAGTTTCGATTAGGCGCGGGTTCGACCCAACGAACAGGATACGAGTTCGCACAGAACAGGCAGATATCGGCAGCCCTCGCTTTTGACAGACGGGTCCACCGTTGGATGACAAAACATCATCCTTCGGAACGGTTCCTTCTTCCATAACATTAACATTGTACTTTGTAGTAAGCTATTCACGTTGGTTGGTGTCGGCTGCCTTCACCTCATAAATCACACAGCTGGGGACAATAATTGCACTGGAAGAAACAAAGATAAGAACAAAAGAGAGAGAGAGAGAAGAGAGAAAATTTGAAACGATAAAAGAAATGCTGGCGCCATAGTCATAGAGCATAGAAAACACTACCCCGATAAGTCATTATAGTACGAGTACCATGGAGTTTTTAAATAAATAGGCACAAAGAAACTCATAAACCCATCACACGTTGGCCCCTGGTATCCCTCCTAGCACAGAAACGCTATGAGACGCAGAGAGCGACATATCCCAATAATTGATCATCAAATAGACGCCTGGGTAATTACATAATAGTCGATCGCAAGGAACCCCCTTGGATCGGGTATCTGGAGACAGAGAGGAGGAGGAGAAAGAAGTCGTTTCACGGAATACTGGTCGGAGCGTTACACCTTGGAAGCCCCCTCGGGAGGAGGACCCGGTGGTGGCTGGTACACCCGTTCGCCACCGTGGTATGCGTTCGGCGGTTGTTGTAGCTCGATTCCCGTCTGCTGGCCTCCAAAGTAACCATAAGCTTGCGGATGAGGGGTGTATTGGGGCGGCGGTTGTTGTTGGTAGTAAGGGTCTGCGTAGTATGGTCGTTGACCTTGTTGCTGTGCTTGTTGCTGGGACTGTTGGAAGGTCGGAGGAGGGCCGGCAAGCCATGCAGTGCCGGGGTGAGGTCGGAGCCCTTGTCTGCGCCGACGGCGGGCGTTGTAGCATCTACCGAACTTGTTAGTCTCCAATCACAGTGGCAGGATCCTGGACCAGGAAGATGAGATGCATACGCAAAGAGAAAGAAGATGATTAGCGCCACAGCGACAATGACTGCGAACGCGATCCAACGACCCCAATCATACCAAGTGCTGCCATCGCACACTTCGCCATTGACGGTGGGATAGCTAGAAAGAGACGGTCAGCCACCCGAACTAATGTACAACAACAGCACTAAAGGCCATTCATGATTGAAGCAGCCTAGAAAGCGCTCCAACCAGGGATGATCAGGCAGATAAGCCAGTCATAAACATACCAGTCTCGACGTCGAAGTAGAACACCCATGGTGGCTGCACCTCTGTATGGGAGGCCTGGGAGGCGCGGAAGATGACGTCGATCAGGCCGGTACAGGGAACGGTAAGTCCAGAGCGAAGTGGAAAAGAAAGTATGCGGCGGCAGGTCAATATAGACAAAACCGGTGGGAGGAGAATCGCAAAGTTTCAGTAACTCCTTCAGGGCGAGGAAGGGATTCAGACAGGAGTAAGGTAGGGGGGGAAAGGGAAGAAGCAGTGAAGTTCTTCTGGGCGTCTGAAGGCAGCAGCAAAGCGAAAGGAACTGCACGGGTAAGTTATTATGGGGACTGGCCGGCGATTGGGTAAGGTAGGGCTGGAAAAGCCGGTGCCAGTGTGGCTCAGTGGCTGGGCAAACACCCGGGAACGATGAATAAACTTCTACTTATTGTTGGTGAGGTGATCGGAAGGAAGGGGAAATGGAAAAGAAAATTAATTTATGAATAATACTGAATTTAAAAAAAAAAAAAAAAAATATTTCTTTGACTAGTCTTGTTTTGTGTTCAAAACATGAATGATGGTGGCCTAATACTTAGTTTTAGTTGGACTAGACAGATCCAACCATTTCCGTTGAAGAATCTTTAAGCAGACTAGACTCCGTAGTAGTAAGTCATTCCCAAAAGTCAACTTTCGGCAGTGTTTGACGTAGTAAGTAGTATTCTTTGCCCTTCCCACCCCCACAGTTGGCAAAGTGTCGTACGTAGTCCATTTCCAAGTAGCCACTCGACACATCAAATGGTAGCAGTGAACCAGATTTTTTGCATAGTAATAGAAGAGAGGGGACTAAAAGTTAAATAACCAAAAAAATAAAAATACCTAGTTGGTTTGTTCCCGAATTCCGACGGTGAATCATGCTAAACGAATGGTTCATGAATCATTTAGATCTACATACCGCGTTCATCCACCGTTCCTGCCTGACGAGACCTCGTTTCTCCATAATCCATATTGATTGACACGACTTTAACCAGCCACTAAACTAAGAGTGTCAAAAAGCGCGAGGATATCTAAGACCTCGGATCGCATTCGGTGGAGCCTGTGACTGCAACGACCGGCACTAGACTAGTCGATTATCCTATCCGCCCACTGCTGTCTCTCCAAAATTCGGGTGCCTGTTCTCAACTTGCCAATTATTCAACAACCTCCTCCCTATCGCGTGCCTCTTTCATCCACTCATCCATCTCTTTTGAGTTGGGACCACTCTTAACCACGTGTTGTCGTGTCTTTTCTCCTCACTTTTTTTCCGAAAATTCAAGTCATCCAAGACATAATCACAGTGTGCTTGTTCGATCTTGGGTGCGCTACCATCGCGCTGTTATCATTATTGTTGAACGGTCGGCAGATATTCAGTGCCTCGGCACGATACAGTCCATGCTCACTAACCTAAAGACTCACGTCACAGCCACGAGTACACCACCAGCAGCAACATCATCATCATCCGCTTGACCGCTTGTACTTTGCAGTTGACATGCAATAGATCAGTAGCCAAATAATATTTGCTGTACCCATGACCTGGCCTTGATCTCGATCCTCATATTGCATTATTGTTTTGCCTAGAGGCCAAAGTAGTATCCGGAAGAAATTCTATCCAGTCTCATGTCTCTACGGAGCACTCCGCCGCGTGTCCGGATTGCCTTTTCCGGCCCTTGATTTGAGATTTCTTTGTCAATACTCTCACATCTCACGTAAAAGAGGTACAGTAAGCCATGTCATACCTACTTCCCTGCTTACTCTGTTGCTGCAATCATACTATACATACGCATCTGTTCAAGAGTATATGTCCAGAATGGGCAACTCGACGACCGTCGAGTATAATATTCAGCACGCTAGAGTTCCAGACATAGCCAGTTTCGAACCGATACTTAAGCGAGATGCATTATACAACTAGCCTGCTATTATGATAGCCTGCTGCACCTCTCCTAATTAGTGCTTATCTTGTAGGATATAGTATGAATGGAGGCTGGATGAACGGAGACAGACAGACAAAGCCAGCCCAGCCCACTCAATCTTCGGCCCTAATTCGGCCTACTACCTAGATACTAGCTCGTGTTTCAGGTTTATGGCGGGGGTGATTACTACTAGTCTCTCAGTGCAGTCTATACCAGATAAGTACTCCGTAGATGGTTCGTCTGTCATCTAGATCAAACCAACGGAGATGAGTCTAGTTAATTAGGAATAGGTATCGCCGCTTAGCAAAGTCACAAACAAAGACTGGATCACTTGGCTGGACTAAGCACTTCCAGATCTGTCATTGAGGTAATAAATGCTATCACTAGAGCACTAAGAATGGATAGTAGACTACTGTGCATATAGATACATTGGCCACGCCTCGCTGCAAGTCACAAAATTCAACTCAAAGTACCTACTGTATAGTTACTTATCAGCAAAGACAGCCGATCTATACGTAACTGCGCAGCTACTTACTTCATAATGCAAGTACCTAGGAACTAGTATCATCCATCAATCCCTCACCTGGCAGTCAACAAATACACCGAGAACAAGTAAGCAAACAGACTAACTACCATATACCACTCTGTATGGAACCAAACCGGCATGTATAACCCATCAAGACTACTAGTAAGTAGTCATCAACCACACAAACCCAACAAATAGCCCCCATTTCGGAAGGAAAAGAAAGCATGGAAGCAAGCACACCTCCAGCCATGAACCTTCGCAGACGCTCTGCTCCGGGGAGGGAAAGAGGAGGGGGGATGGAAGTACACAAGTTGTTTGGCGGGGTGGGATTTGCTGGGAGGCTTGATTAGTTCCCGTCTGCGCATCTGCATTGCCAACGCATCAGTTGGTCTGTGTGTGGCCCTGTTGGCCATGATCCTGCTTGGTATTTATTTTTCTTTTCTTTGGGCCCTCAAATAATTCATGCTTGCCGCGTTCCTTTGTCTCTTTCTTTCTTTCTCTCTTCTCTACTTTGCATCTGTCTGTATTTTCTCCCAGACTTTGGTGCTATGTTTCGTTCACTTAGCTACCTGCTTGCAGCTAGCTACATTGGACTGGTTGGTGGTCATGTGCTTATTGGGCATTGATTGATTTCTCCCCAACACTTGCTCTCTTACATCTCTCTCTTTCTCTCTCTGGCGCTTCAATTCTCGATCGTCGAGCTACTTGCTAACTATGCAGTTCTTTTTCCCTTCTTCTTCAATACTCTCCGCAACCCACGCGGTTCAGGTTTCTTTTTTCACTATGAAGGACGGCCTGAGGAACATAAAATACACAAAAGTACATTGAAACTGACATCATTGCTTGAAAACCAAACCAAGTGACTCCATGACAGGGGTGAGGTGCTGAAGATCGGACAAATGTTACGCTTGAAGCTCAATGTGTGTCTGGTTCACGTCGTTCACATCATTACATCGGGGCTGCGAGCCGCATCGTTTTTGCAGTCTACAAGAGATCCATCTCGTGGATGGGATCAAGGAAAGAAGGAGAGGAGGGTCTGAGGGATTGACCCCCCAGCGGTTCTCAAGCGGAGTCGCTGACGACACGCCGTTCATCGACTGGCTCGAGCGATTAACCAATGCAGAACAGCATCGAGGTTCGTCTCCTCTTTAGCACTGATCCCATAGCAGCTCACTTCGCGATGAGTGATGGATTTCAGGTCCATCTCGTGGATCAGATCGTCGACCGACAGCTTCTCCGGAAGGTCGGACTTGTTCCCAAGAACCAACAGTGGGATCCCGTTAAGCGTCTCTTTGTTCATCAGCTCGTGCAACTCCTCTTTGGCTACGGGTAAGGCAGCCCGATCTGCTGCATCCACAATGTACCTGGTCGGGCGATTAGCGCTGCCAGGGTACCAAGACATGTTCCAGACAAACTTGAACACTTACACGATCGCATTCACTCCACGACAGTATCGCTCCCACATCGGTCGAAACCGTGGCTGTCCACCTAGATCCCAGCTGGATGGACATTAGATACATCGCGCACAGGCATCTCGCAGCTCCATACTGGGGCTCCATACCATTTGAGAGTCACATGTCCCTTCTGAACTCGTTTCGTGTTGAACCCGATCGTGGGAATAGAACTGAAATGGGATTTAGCCAGATAATCCAGTGTCGCTCTGTCAGGCCAGGCCCTACAGGATGGAAACTCACTCTACAGTGAACTCGCCGCCCTATACTGCGGGATTAGCGCCGAGGACCGATAACACGGGAAGATGCGTTCAGTCGCCGTGGGGGGGGAAGGCATACCGCAAGCACACGTAACAACGAAGACTTTCCTGCATTCTGGAGACCAATCATGGTCACATCCATCTCCGTCGCCCTGCGGGTGCGAATATATCATAATGGCACTTAGCAAATCGAATGATTCCTTATCTGCGGGGACGGGCCGAAGAGGGGGGACCATTCCCGGAGAAAAAGCGATTACTTATTGGGACGGCGGCCCACTTACCAGAACATCCTCAGGAGCCAGTCATAGATCGTGCGAAAGATACCCGCCATGTTGATTATCGAAAGGGTTTGCGCCTTGTGTCGTTTACGCGATCAGAGCAACGAGGGTGACGGGATAGTTTAAGTAGGGGGAAGGCTTGACTTGGTGGAAGCAGGTCGAAAGGGCGCGCACTGCTTGTCTCGGCTGGTGGGCGATCGACGACGGGTGGGAGAAATATATCGACACTTCCTGAGCAGAGGAGTTTTCGTAAGGTTAAGTGGGGGTGGAGTGGGTTGCTGAAAAGGGAGAGCAACAGAGCCTTCTCTTTCCCGGGCAGGGAAAAGCAGAGGATTAGATGTGGGTTGTAGTATTGGATGGAAAGATGCGAAGCGGAAAATAGTAGGTGGTAGTAACCGGTGTGCTGGGAAATAATGGGCGGGTGGATTCGAAAAAAGAGGCGGCGGTCGTAGCAAGTTTCCCACGTCCGAGCAGCAGCTGAGCAGGAAAAGAAGGTGAGAGGGTGAGGTCGAAGCGGCGCGAAAAAAGAAAGGCGGCAATTTCCCCAGGGTCGGGTTGGTTGTTCCCTAATCCCTAGTGATGGCAGCAGCCAGAAAAGAATATTTCTTCTTCTGATGTCTCTTTGCTTTGCGGTGAAACTAGAGCTGGTCCGATCTATGGGCACGCATGACCGTTCGCTTTTGCGCCGCCGCGCGCTGGAGGGGAGCGCCTAGTAGTCTAGTCCTGCCCGGTCCCTGTCAGTGATATTTTTGCTGGGTTTGGTTGTCTGTGTCCGGACTCAGCATCCAGTAATTAACTAACTAACAATTGGACTAGCTACTCGGAGTAGTTAGTTTAATGCCCAGATCCCGTGTCAATCACTCGTATATTCCGGGAATCTGTAAAGAGGGATCAAAGGACCAACTAGTCACGGTTAGTTGCTCACTGGAGTGGGAACCGGTGGCTCTCAGTCGCACGAGGAAGTCATTAATTATCGACAAACCGGGAAATGGAGAGACAGTCCCCGAGCAGCAATGATGATATTATTAACAGCTGCGCTTCCAAATGGCAGCCAATAGTCGCGGCTTAGCCCAGGTAATCTGTCGCCGGCGGATTGATACTAGTAACTACCGGACTAGTTCATAGTATCTCCAATTGTCGGCCTCCCTGTCGACCCGCCTTATCACCAAATATTAATTATCTTCCTCCCCGGAAGAGTAAATGCGCACGGTTAATAAGGTAGTAGTAGTCCGGGATAATAATGGAAAATTGGAGACTACGTATCAACACTTGAGAAGAGGCAGATTTTTCTCCGATAAATCAGTTAGTTAGTTACATTACTGAGTGATTAATTGAGTTAAGCTGGAACTGACGCATTCCGCGTTTGCCTTGTTGCCTAAGGCGGTTCTTCCCTGTCCCGTGCGTCTGTCCCGTGACGTATGCATAGATTATGTAATTTATTCTATCTTCTTATATGCCTCAGGCATGCACTACACTATCTCCACGTGATGATATCTGTCCGCCGGATCCACCTCGAAAAATTTCCCCGTCGAGCGACGACGAGGTTCGTTGCTCTCCAGACCAGCACTCCGGCTCTCTGTGCGAGTCGCATCTCCTCTCCTCTACCTCCCTCGTGGCTCTCGCGATCCCTTATACCAAGGGAATGAGCATTGGGCCCGCTTACTAGCACCTATATTCACACCGGTGCTTCGAAAACTACGGATACGGAAGTTCGATCGAACTTTTCCCGCCTCATTCGACCTTCCGGCCACGACGGCTTGAGATAATTCACCATGGCCCCCGCGGCGACAGACACGAACTGGTCGGTCAATTACGACGTCCTGAGACGGGAGAAGCTTTTCCGCAACCCTCCCAAGGACCAGACCGCATACCCAGCCTTGGCGGCTGCCATCCGGCCGCATGTCGATTCTTTCAATGCGCTCTTCGACGGCCCCAAGACGCTGGAGGCGGCCCTGAAGGATATTGGCACCAAGACATTCATCGACGGTGAAGCCGAGACTCCCGAACAAAAGAAGGCGCGGCAGGCAGAGGGGCGCAAGGCGCCCAAGCGGAACAAGCTGCATGTCCGTGTCAGCGAGGTTTTCCTCGAGAAGCCGGCCCTGCCTCCGTCGAACAAGTTCACTTCCCGCAACCGCAACATCTACCCCTCGGAATGCAGAGAACGCCATGCGACGTACCGTGGAAAGCTCCGCGCCAGACTTGAATGGCGCGTCAACAATGGCGATTGGATGGAGTCGGTCAGAGAATTGGGTCAGGTTCCCATCATGTTGAGGGTGAGTGCGATCACATTAGCAGTTGGATCGAGTATGCAGGGAAAACCTTTTGTCTAACATTGCGTGATTTTCCAGACCAACCGCTGCCATCTGGAAAAGGCCACGCCTAATGAACTTGTTGAGCATAAGGAAGAGTCGGAGGAATTGGGTGGTTATTTCATTGTCAACGGTAATGAGAAGCTCATTCGAATGTTGGTCGTTGGAAAGCGCAACTACCCCATGGTGATTATCCGTGGTTCCTTCGTTCGCCGTGGACACACCTACACCAAGTATGGTGTTCAAATACGTTCGGTGCGGCCGGATCAGACGTCGCAGACCAACGTCCTTCACTACCTTACCGACGGTAACCTGACTTTCCGTTTCTCGTGGCGCAAGGCCGAGTATCTCGTCCCGGTGATGATGATTCTCAAGGCTCTGGTGGAGACGAATGACCGCGAAATCTTCGAGGGCATCGTTGGCAGCGCTTCTTCCGAGGGAATCAAGAACACCTTCGTGACTGACCGTGTCGAGCTGCTTCTGCGGGTTTACAAGGCATACAACACACACAGTCGCGCCGCTTGCCGGGCCTACCTCGGAGAGAAGTTCAGACCCGTCCTCGGTGTGCCCGCAGACATGTCCAACGAGGATGCTGGTACCGAATTCCTCCGCAAGGTTGTTCTGCCTCACCTTGGAAACCAGAATGTCACTGAGAACCAGGACTACGACAAGTTCAAGATGCTCCTGTTCATGATCCGAAAGCTCTATGCTCTGGTTGCTGGCGACTGCGCTCCTGACAACCCGGATGCTGTTTCCAACCAGGAGATCCTGCTTGGTGGATTCCTCTACGGAATGATCTTGAAGGAAAGACTCGAGGAATGGGTGAGGTCTTTCCAGCCAATCCTCAGGGATTGGTCCAACCGCAACGGCGGTGCCACGTTCACCGATCCGGCCTTTGAAAGGGATTTCCTGGCCAAGGTCGTCAAGCGCTCGAACGAGAACATTGGTGGTGCTCTGGAGTACTTCCTGTCCACGGGTAACCTCGTCAGTCCTACTGGTCTCGACTTGCAGCAACCGTCCGGTTACACGGTCATGGCGGAAAAGATCAACTTCTACCGTTTCATCAGTCACTTCCGCATGATTCACAGAGGTAGTTTCTTCGCCCAGCTGAAGACGACAACCGTCCGTAAGCTGCTTCCCGAGAGTTGGGGTTTCTTCTGCCCTGTACACACTCCTGATGGTTCGCCCTGTGGTCTGCTTAACCATCTTGCGCACAAGTGCTTGATTGCAACTAGCGACGTGGACACCACTCACATCCCCAAGGCGCTGGTTCAGCTTGGTGTGCGCTCCGACTCGTCTGTGTCTGTCACCGAAAGCGTCACCGTCCAGCTTGATGGTAGAATCATCGGTTACTGCTCACCAAAACAGGCTTCGGCGATCGCGAACACCCTACGACGCTGGAAGGTCATGGGCTCTGACAAGATCCCGCGCGAGCTGGAAATTGGCTACATCCCCAACACCAACGGTGGTCAATACCCTGGTATCTACATGTTCTCGCAAGCCGCCAGAATGTACCGCCCCGTCAAGCACCTTGGACTCGACAAGCTGGACTACGTTGGTCCCTTCGAGCAGCCCTTCATGGAGATTGCATGCTTGCCTCAGGATCTCATCTCCGGCGTGTCGACGCACATCGAGTTCACCCCTACCAACATCCTCTCTATCGTCGCCAACATGACACCTTTCTCCGACCAGAACCAGTCGCCTCGTAACATGTACCAGTGCCAGATGAGCAAGCAAACGATGGGTACACCCGGTACTGCCATCCAATATCGTACAGACAACAAGCTCTACCGACTGCAGACGGGTCAGACACCCATTGTGCGCCCCCCTCTCTACAACGCGTACGGTCTGGACAACTTCCCCAACGGAACCAACGCCGTTGTTGCTATTATCTCCTACACCGGTTACGACATGGACGACGCTATGATTATCAACAAATCCTCCCACGAGCGTGGCTTCGGTTACGGTACGATCTACAAGACCAAGATCCACTCCCTCGACGAGAAGGACTCTCGCCGCGGCAAGTCCAGACGCGAGGTCACCAAGCTCTTCGGTTTCGCCCCTGGAGGCGAGATTCGCGCCGACTGGCGTGCCACTTTGGACGAAGACGGTCTCCCCCACATCGGTGCCCGCGTGAAGGAGGGCAGTCTCGTTGCCGCCTGGCACACCGTGCGCTACGACGCCGCCTCCGACTCCTACGTCAACGTCGACGGAATCACCCACTTCGTCAAGTACAAGGACGCCGAAGAAGGATATATCGACAGCGTGCGCATCCTGGGAGCGGAATCCGGCGTCGAGCCCGGCCAGGCTCTCAGCGTCAAGTACCGCATTCCCCGTAAGCCCATCATCGGTGACAAGTTCTCGTCTCGTCACGGTCAAAAGGGTGTTTGCTCTCAGCTCTGGCCCGCCGTGGACATGCCCTTCTCCGAGAGTGGTATCCAGCCCGATCTGATCATCAACCCTCACGCTTTCCCCTCTCGTAAGCCAGCCCCCCATCCCCATCCCCATCCCCATCCCCACCTTACCAAGCTCATCCCCACTAACCACCACCAGGAATGACCATCGCCCAAATGATCGAATCCATGGCCGGTAAAGCCGGTGCCCTGCACGGCCATCCCCAAGACTCCACGCCCTTCCAATTCTCCGAAGAAAACACCGCGGCGGACTACTTCGGCCACCAGCTCCGCAAAGCCGGCTACAACTACTTCGGCAACGAGCCTTTGTACAGCGGCATCACGGGCAAGGAATTCGCCGCCGACATCTTCATCGGTGTCGTCCACTACCAACGTCTCCGTCACATGGTGAACGACAAGTTCCAAGTGCGTACCACCGGTCCCGTCAACCAACTGACCGGCCAACCCGTCAAGGGTCGTGCCAAGGGAGGTGGTATCCGTGTCGGAGAAATGGAGCGCGATTCCCTCATCGCCCACGGCGCTGCCCACATCCTCCAGGACCGTCTCATGAACTGCTCCGATGCTACCCGCTCCTGGATCTGTCGCGACTGCGGCTCCTTCCTCTCTACCCAGGTGGCCGTATCCTCAGCTGGATCAAGCAAGGCTCGTATTGCCGCTGCGAAGGCTGCTTCGAATCAGCATTCCGGCGCGAATGCTATCAGCGGAGCGCCGAGCATTGTTCGTTGTCGCCGCTGTGCTAGGGAGGCTGTCTTTGAGGATTCCCGCGCGGATGTCTGGGAGGATGGTGATGGTCGTCGCTATGTCGGTGGTGATAATGTTACCGTTGTGGCGGTGCCCGGTGTCTTGAGGTACTTGGATGTTGAGTTGGCGGCTATGGGTATTCGCATGAAGTTCTGGGTGGATAATTAGGGTGCATATATTCATTTTTATCTTTATCTGTGCGGGGGTGGGGGATGATGATGATATAAAAAAGCAAACCTTTCTTTTTTTTTCTGTTCGTTGTTAGATTGGGGGCGCATTTTCAGCACTGCTTTCTTTGCTATAAAGTTGCTTGATGTTTGTTTGGCTTCTTGGGGATGTATGTATGTTATGTATGCATTATGTATCTATTTTCTTTTTCATACAACTATGATCATCTTCATTTAGTTCTTGTGAGATAGATGATGGTTCTGTTTTTCTTAGCAATTGTAGGGTTGCCTTTGGCTGGTGGCTTGCTTTGAGGTCGGTAGTACTGGCCTCGGTGCTTTCTGGCATGATTGCAAGATGACTACTCTTAGACATACTATATAAAGGAGCATCACATAATAAATATCTTAAGCCTAAAATAAGAGTATCATATCCACCATACAGAACCCATCAGCACTTCCCGCGCTTACAACTCCGACGTGACATTCGAGAACTCGCCCTTCTCCAGCTTCGTCTTCCAGAATATCGGGTTCATGTCGTTGAAGCCGTGGTGCACCCATCCCTCTTCCTTGACATGGTACAGGTTGATGAAACCACCAGAGTACGCGTCACGGTGCATGGCAGCAAGGATACTTCTGCGGCCGAGCTCGAGGGCCTCCTCCTCGGTCAAGTCGTAGTGGTAGTTGGCGTCAAGCACACCATATGCGAAGGTCTGACCGGATCCGACACAGAACAGGTTTCCGGGGAGTCGGGTGCCGTCTGAGTCGATGTAGTAGAGAGCGGGTCCTTCTTGGGGCGTCATCTATTGTCGTGAGTTAGTTTGGGCATCGATGCATAATGTTGGTAGGAAGGGTTCGCGTACTCCTGCTAACATCGTTCCCATGCTCAGACCCATTCCCTTGTAAGCATATGTCAAATTGGCGAGAATCTTCGAGGCAGCGGCGACGGTGATACGGCGCTTGTGACGGATTTCTGTCTTGATGTTAATGAATGTCTTGGAAACAGTGGATGATTGAACTTGCCGTGAAGTGTGCATTGCTGGCTCAGATATCTCAACCAGTATTGGCAGTCCTATAAACGGTCATCAGCTGTTCATCCTAGATCATAATTCTAGCACAGAGCGCGCATTGCTCCACACGGATAGCACATACCGCAGCACCTCCGGCCATGGTGCCCAAAAGGCCGGGAGTGGGTTCATTTGACGGCTTGTCCTCCCCGCGGCTCAACCGCGAGACGGGAATGACCTTCTTGACTGTCTGACTCGCAATCCAGTTTCCAGCAGTAGCTCTCGAATCCGTAGCGACGATCTAGGAGAACGATGGTCAGTGCGAGACGTGGCGGAGGCAGTGATGACGGCATACAATTCCGCCCTGGAATCGGAAGGCCAGTGTCGTCGTTCCGTGGGCAAGTTTGATGGGGCAGCTGGGATTCGAGTGGTCATCGGTCATAGCACGGAGGAAGGCTCTAGACTGGAGATACAGAAAGATGTCAGCCCACTGGTTCCGCGATTGGTAAGAGGCATGTAGGAGGGTCGGTCCGGTGTTCAGCCCAATCTTAGGCAGCTGTAACTTTTCCACAACCTGACCCCCAGACAAGCAACTTCAGAAGGTGTATATCTCACGTTATCAACAGGAGGCAGGTTGAACTTCAGAGAGAGCGGAGGAAGGCTCTCTGTGAGGTCCCGCTGCTCTTGCTCTGAGTAGAACTCATTCTGATGCGGCGGGCGGGAGTATTGAGCGACCAATTTATCCATGTTGTGCAAGGTGTGTTGTTAGATTCAAGGAAGCAACGAGGAGATATATTCTGGAGGATAATGTTGGGTGCGAGAGAGAAGATGGAAGAGGGAGATGGCGATGGCGGGTGCAGCTCGGAGCTCTGAGATGATGCTTTGGAGCTCCCAAGCCGGCGTCCGCGTCACGCTGGCCGCCTGGATCACGTGATGACCATCCACCAATTGCTTAGTTACTACTGTATGTATTACTTTGCATTTAACTTCATATTTCCTATAATTACTCAACTAGTTACAATAACAGCCACCCTGCTGACGGTATTGTGTCAGAGCTCCAGTTTTAGAGCGGCTATACACATATAAGCCAAATACTGTACGTACTAGAACTACAATTACAGATAACGAGCACAGCTAGAAACCAATACACTTACCCCAGTCCTCAGCTCAGATGGGGACTGCCACAGGATGAGCCTGCACCGGGACTGGGCTGATTATTTGCGGAGCTTCAGAGCCTCGTGAGGTGTATGAGAGGCGTGGATCTGGTGCTCGTCGCACTTCCTCTTCCTCCTCTGTTTTCAGAGCCTCCTCCCGGACGGATCCATCTGCCACCTGATCTCGACCTGTCTGGCTGGAGTATATGTCCTGTGCGGCAGCAGGAGTGATCTGCTCCTCAACGGCGGGGACGGATGGTCCTTCTGTGCCACCGGTGGCATACCGCTCATCGGCAGCGCTGGTGAAGACCTGCCCTAGAGGACGACCGGGGTATCGCTCCTCGCTAGCACTGGCGGCGACCGGCTCTTGAGCACGGCTGCTATACTGCTCTTCAGTGACACCGGTGGCGCTCTGCTCCTGAGCACGGCCAGCATATTCTTCTGTGGCACTTCGATCCACATACTCCTCCGGCGCGACTCCCTCGACATATCGCGGACTGCCTCCATTGGCATAGGCCCCTGTGGTGGTACCATTAGTATACTGCTCCCGGCCACTTCCATTGACTTGTCGCTCCGCAGCGTTCCCATTGACATAACTTTCCTGGCCGGTGCCATTGGCATAGCGTCCCTGGCCGGTGCCGTTGGCATATCGTTCTTGGCCAGAGCCATTAACGTATCGCTCCTGGCCAGTACCATTGGCATATTGCTCCACACCAGTGCCGTTTGTGTATCTCTCATGACCAGCGCCATTGACGTAAGAAGGTTCCGCAGAACCATTGACGTCCCGCACAGAGTCCGAGACCGCTGTGTCAGCCGCATATGATGCGCGACCATTGGTGGCTCTACGGGCGGCAGTTGGCAAAAGAGTGCTGTCCGGGAGCTCCCCTGCCGCACTCTGGATAGGCACGGTGGTGCTCTCCCAAGAACGGAGATCATTCTCAGCCTCCTCGAGGATTTGTCTCGTAGAGGATGTGCGATCGTACTCGCGTGGGGAGTCACCAGGAACGACAGGGGTATCGTCCAGCTGTTCCAGAACGCGACGCGCATGACGAGCAAGCAAGATCTGTTTCTCGTTTCGTTCAATGACCGCAGCAGTGTGGATGTCTAATGCCTCCTTGAGCTTCGACCTGGTCTAAACTCGAACTTTAGCTTCTGCGATATTGCATGCTGCATTGATCTCAATACTTACCACATTAGTCAACTGCGCCTCGGCGACGAGACTCTGAGCCTCCGCCCTGACCAACTCCTGTTCCAGGGTATCGATTTTATGGCTATGTGGCTCCTTCCACTTAAGTCTCTGGATCTCATCTGCAATCTTGGCCCGCTGGTCGCGGGACGGCTGGACCGAGTTCTCCGTGTCTCGAATTTGCTTCAGCACGACGCGGTATTCCTCAAGATACTGAGCGAAGGTATCCTCCTGTTCGCCAATTTCGGCCATCAGGACAGCAAACTTGTCGGTGATATCGGCGACAGCATCGTCTTCAGTCCATTCACCCCATTCGGACAGCTGGGATGCAATAGACACGCGCTCGCGACTAGCCTTCTCATGAGCACCAATGGCAGCATTCTCATTCTTAATGACCTGGTTCAGCTTCTTGCTCAGCTCGGGCTGCTGAAAGCCGCGCAGCGTAGAGAAGCGGAACCGGGGACGAGAAGTCAATGAGCTTCTCCTTCTGTGGGAGAGGTTGCGATTCCTAAGCTGGTCAGTATCACAATATCATGTCTCTGTAGAGAAGGAAGTGATATACATGATTGCGAACTATCTAGGATATCCACGGTGCCAACTCTCACAATTCAATGTAACACAATGTAGTTTAAGATCAGGTATGACGAGCTAACAATGATAGAGAAAGGATTGCACCTTCCTCGAATGATACTTCTTCTGGAACGGACGGATGGCAGATCCTATCCGATGATCGACAATTAGTTGCAGTAGCTATACCAATCAACCCACGATCGGTTCATTGATAGATCAATTCTGTGGGGCACGAGGGATAAATGGCATTGATCAATGGTTTAATTATTTCCTGCATCTGAACAACAAAAAGCCCTCTGGACAAAGACCGTGACGTCATGCGGAGGACACGGATGAGCATTGAGGTCATCGGCCGGTTGCAGTACAGCCCAGCCATGATGCATCGCGTTGGTTCCATGGGAGAGGGAAGTTAGTTGCTCGTTGAACTCTATACAGTAGACGTGAAGTATAACGAGTATCTCATAGTGCATAGAGCGACAGGACTGCCCCAAGAGGAAGCCAGGCAAGAGTCATGATATCTGAGTAACTACTAATCACATATGCGAAACCAATCTATATACTTGAACCAAAATACCATACCATAAACACCACCATGCCAACCCCACCCTAAGTAGATCTACTATCGAGCCCGAATATACTCAACCCTCACCTTCCTCCTCCTATCCTCCTCCACCCTATCCACCTCCTCATCCACTTCCTCATCCTCAACTACCTCCTTCCACCTCCCCCGTTCCCTAATAGCAGCAGCACCACTAGGTCTCCTCCACGCCCCTCTCTCCCTCATAACCACCCACTCCTCCACCCTCTCCCGCTCCTCAGGCTCAAAAACCCCCACACACTCCACCTCCTCCGCCTCCACATCCGGCAACCGACAGTACTCCCTCTCCCTCTCCCTCTCTCTGACATCAATCACCACCGGCGGAGGCGGGGGCGGTAATCTCGGCCGCGGCCACGGCCTCGCTATCCGAACAGACCTCGCCGGCGGCAGCGGGATGAACGTCTCCTCGACATCTCGAACCTTACTCCGACTTGTTCGGTAAGTATCTCGCTCTCGCTCACGGGGAGCAGGTGGAGGCGGAGGCTTGCGAGACGGTTGTGGTGGGTGGTAGCTTCGCGGTGGGGGCCGGAGGGAAATGGAGGTCGTAGTGGAGCTGGAGCTGGTGGTATCGCTGCAGGTGCTGCATGAGCTGTTGGATCTTCGTCGTCTGCGGAAGTGGTGGTGGTGGCTACTATTGTGGTGGTGATGGCGATCGTGGAATCGTGGTGGTGGTGAGGGAGAGGAGGATCGCGAGGAGGAAGAGTCGAGGTTTAGATTGAGGAGTTTGGGGAGGGAGAGCGAGTCGGAGAGGGGTGGGAGGCACATTCTTCTCTTTTTTCTCTCTTCTTCTTTGGTTGGGTTTATGGTGTGGGATTTGGATGGAGAAGTGTGGGTGAGTGTATAGTATAGCTGGTAGGATATCGATAGGCCTAGTTCTTGGGAATATGTAAATTGTAACTAGGTATCATTGTTGTGCTTGATAACGGAGGGTAAAGTCATTCTAAAAAGAGAGCAAAAGAGAAAGACTCGGAGGGAGATACCCATGTTTCCTATATACATTGTACATTTGATAGCCATGCGGGAATCACTTGACCGGGGTAACCTGTCATGCGGATGGTCGGGCCCGGTGATAGCGTCACTTAGGCGGATGATATGAGGGCTATTGGGTATCGGGTGGGCGCATCATATCTGTGGTGGTGCTAATTTCATTATGATTGTTTGTCATGGGTGCAACGAGGGTTTGAAATGGTTACAGAGATAGAGATAAAGATGGGGATGAAGGTGGAGGTGGATGTAGAAGTGAGGTCAGTATGGGTTGGACGGTTGTTGCTAAGTTGGTCTGGTGACTTCTACATCGGCCATGCACAATCGTTACAAGCCTTGATCTGAGCTACGACCTAGTCAAGGCGCAGAGACGTGCAGATGGCTACTCCTCATACCTCCGAGATCGGACACCTCCACCTACTCTAGGATACAAAGATTAACAATGCTGCCTTAACAGCTAATATAGCAATCTCATTCACAACCCCTCTCTACACGGAAAGGGCTCAAGCAAAGCAAACCCAGCGCCAATTATTGGTTACAAGAGCACCACAAACACCGTGTCCCCCACCCCAAGGAATATCGAAACCCAGCGATCAGCAATCCTAAGCCATATCGTCCGCATCGTGGTGATGGGTGTTCTCATTATCCGATGCGTGGAATGCATCGCCGAACGCCGAGTTCTCCAGGTCCGGGAGGTCCAGCCCTTCGTTTTGCTCGGTGTATGCTGCAAGCGCATCACCTGCGCTATCCATATTCGTGAAATCGAAGTTGGCCCCGTCCAGCGCAGAATCTCCGGCACTTCCTCCGTTTCCGGGTGTCAGGCCTTGGATGCCACTACCCGGGGTGCTGATGCCCGGTAGGGAGCTATCACCGCCAGCAGGCTGATCCTTCTTCTCGTCGTTGACCATCACCCAGTCGCCTGTTTCCCCAGCGGCCGTGTTCGTCGCCTGTCCGTCGCCCATATCCATGTCGATATCGAGAGACGTACCCTGCTGCGTAGCGTCGGCGGTGGGCTGTGGCTGCGGTGGCATGGGTACGCCACCAGAAGGTACATTGGCTGTGGGAGGAACGGCGGGTGCGGCTGTCGGTGCTGCTGCTTCTTGGGTGGCGGAAGAAGCAGGAACGGCCCCAGCGGCAGATGGAGAGCCCAGTTGGTCAAGGAAGTGGCTGTCGGCGTTCTCCATATCAATATCACCTTCCGCTTGGGGTTCGGGTTTCTGCTCAGGCTCGATCTTTTCCAGCAGACCACCTTTCTGCACGCAGGAGATCTTGGGCTCCGGTACGATCTGTCGTTGCCACGATTTCTCCACCTCCCGTACGATGTCGTCAACCTTGTACTTGGCCGGATTCTCTAATTGAGGCGCCTGTGAGTCATCTTCTTCGGAAGGCATCACAACACGACCCTCCAATCTCCATGTCTCTGTGCCAGTCTCTGCAGGGTCTGTTGCGGCTTCTCGGAGCCGGAGTTCTGCGTCCTTCAACAGCGAGGTGCGGTTAAACTTCTCCATACGACGCGCGTGGCGCTTCTTCAACTTCTCAATTTCAGCTGTCATGTCAGCGACCTTCTTAGCGACACGGTCAGCAAATTCCTCAGCCTTAGCAGGCTCCATCTTCTCTGCGGCTTGAATTGACGCGTTGGCATCCTTCGTCTCTCCATTGGCAGGTCCAACGGGTGCATCGAAGAATCCCGCCGTCAACGACTCCAGCTCTCCTTTCCGGCCCAGGCCCAATGAGACCGGAGTGATCTGGTTGATAGCGTACGGCGAGGCGAAGATCTCCTCCATCCACTCGTGGTGTTGCTGGTATCTCATCTTGCTGATCTCGCGCGGAGTAAGCAAATCCATAGCATCCCCAGTCGAGACGTCTTCATCTTCAAGGGCAAAGTCGGCTGTGGCAGCGTTGACTGCAGCAGACGAAGCACGATGCCCGCGCGCAGCCTTGGCAGGTGTAGCAGCGGCCGGAGGCGGCACACCCGGGCCTGGTGGAGGGTAGAACTGCTGGCGTCCCACCATGGCACTCGGGTACGCACCAGGCACCTGAGGGAAGCCTTGCGGAGCCATTTGCGGAGGGAAGTTGATGGCTGGCCAGTTGTTGCGATCGTGTAGCATGAAGTCCTTGCGCGCGAGTTGGCCTTGGCTCTGGAGGAAACGCCGTTGAGCCAGCATGTTCTGGACTGGAGGCATGACGGGGATCCGGTTCGCGGGGATGTGGTCGGTAGGAGGACCTCTCGAGTAGTGAACAATCCACAAGGAAGGGTCAGGCGGGGGGACATTCGGGTTGGGGACCTTCGACGGCAGAAGTCGGTAACGTCTGCGGCAGTGGATAGCCAGGGTCTCGTTGGGTGGGTGATAACCACTGCGATGCAGCCACATCTCCACAAGCTGGAGCAGTCCGTGTCAGCCATCAGCGCGTCAACGTAGGAGAGAGGGTCAGGATGCGCATACGTAGCCGCGAGCCTCGAAAGTGAACGCTTGTTCGACGTCGGCCCAGACATAACCGTCGCTAGCAAAGTTGGTTCCCAGCTGGTTCAATGGCTGCCAGGTGAGCATGACAGATCCGTCCTGCGGGCCATCGAGGAACGTCCAATGCATCGGTTGCGCCTCCCGGACGATCTTGGGCGCGGAGAGGAGGTATTCGACGACGGTGTCGGTGGGCATCATATGCATAAGGGGATAACGGTGCCGCGACACCAGATGCATATGCGGCAGCTATTAAGCGATGGGAAAGGTCGTTGGTTAGCAATCGGACATTCTAACTATGCAGCAGCACGTCTCAGCTGGATGACCTACCAACTGCGCGGGAACACGGCTCGCTGGGTCGTCCATGATGATTAGAGACCGTGAAAGGACTAGGGAAGATGGGTATCAAGGTGGTCGCCTAGCACGCAGGGTATTTAGCGGATGGTAACTTCGAAGCGCATCCGGTGATAAAGATGGCCGACAGGCGACAATCGAGCGCAGACTGGTGGACGGAGAGCAATGAAGGCCAACGCGACGCGGAAATTTGAGGTTCCTGGCCGATTCCCGACATGGCCCCTGCGGGCGACGGGAGAGACCCATCATGCAGATTACCTGCCTGAAGCACCAGGCTGCCATAGCTCCCGATTGAGACGAGATCCCGCCTGGCCAGAGATCGTCGGATAAGCCCACATTAATCCTTTCCCCAAGCGTGCAATTCGTGCATCCGAGTCTCCATCCCCGCAATGTTGGGGTCTTATGCTTTTAGCCGCCCCCCAGACTAGTTAACTAACTAGATCATCCTACGTGGAGTGAGTCAATGAGTTGACCCATCGTCAAGGGAACCTAATGTCCTGCTTCATCCTTCTAACCGATCCAGCATTCTTGCAGTGTTTCGCACACAAACTGCCGTGATGTCCATGCGAGGGAACCATGCAGTATAGTCGGCAAGGGTCATCCAACGACTCTTATTGAAACATCCAGCCGCTTCGTCTTCTTGGTCGCCCAATGCCTTTGCGACCTTCCCAACCAAGCCTTTTCGCAAAACTCGGGTGGATTGGACCCAAGCTTTGACCCGCCACTCACTGCGCAGTGATGATTACTCTCCGCACCCGTCATGATTGGGTCCTTTAGAGTGTCATTGACCCGAGCCCATGCGTCTCCCCTTCGGCTTTTTCATGCACTTGGAGTGTAGCCCTCCTATAGTGCCGTTCGGCTTTGAGCAAGCGATGGCATTATCCCTGGAAAGGCAATTGTCTCGTCTGATCTATCCAGTAGTTCTCTGCCGCTCCCCTCCCACCCCTGCTTAACGTCATTATCCCTCACCTGCGGGGCGTGGAGAGGAGAGAACACATTCGCGTAGTCGTGGCTCCCATTCAAACAGGTCTTATTGGTGACAGACCACGCGAAGCACCCCTCTTGCATCGCGCTGGTGCTATAAATCTTGCTTACGCCCTCAGTCTCCTGCATTCTGTCCTGGTTCGGTCCGACTTCTGCATCTGTGCTTCTCCTTTCCGTTTAGTGAGTCATGGGTTTCTTTGGCAAGAGGGAAGCTCCCGGTGACACTACGGGCCAAGTCGATGCCATTGTTGAGGCTCCTGGGCCTGATCCAGAAAAGCAACAAATCGCTCATGATGAGGACTTTCACACAGCGCTTCCTCAGATCCCTCAGGCCGCACCCATCATTGATCCCGCAGTTGAAGCGCGCTTGTTGAGAAAATTGGACTTGAGGGTTCCAACGCTGCTAGGGTTCTTGTGTAAGTCCCAATATTCTTTTCATTCCCGCACTCTCACTTTCACCGCTCATCCGACTTCCTCTTATCCTGCCCTTGCCACATTTCACCTTTGGTCTTTCTCGGAGCATATCTAATATGATGTGTACGTGCAGATCTTCTTTCCCTTCTGGATAGAAGCAATATCGGGTACGTTTTTCCCAACCTTTGCATACCAGCTGTGACCTGTCGCCTAACATCGTGCCAGAAATGCCAAAATTGCGGGAATGGAAGAGGATTTACATCTCACGGAGAATCGCTATACATGGCTCCTGACTATCTTCTACATATCGTACACTCTGTTCGAGTTTCTGGCTTTGATGTGGAAGATAATGCCCCCACATAGGTGGGCAGCTATCACAGTAATGACTTGGTATGTACAGACCCATAGCATTAAGGTCCCTCGCTCGGTATTCCTGACTGATGCAGGGGCATTGTTGCGACCTGCCAAGCCGCAGTGCAGAACTGGGGCGGGATGATGGCTCTGCGTTTCCTGCTCGGCATGTCCGAAGCAGCATTCGGTCCCGGGTCACCCTATCTGCTTTCCTTCTTTTATCGTCGTCAAGAGCTCGGCCTCCGCTGCGGTTTGTTCTTGTCAGCTGCGCCTCTAGCCAATACATTTGCAGGCGCTCTTGCATATGGTATCACCTCGGGACATGCAAAGATCGCCAACTGGCGCTTGCTTTTTCTGGTTGAAGGCAGCCCATCGCTTGTGGCAGCCTTCTTAGCGTGGTTCTACTTGCCTGATCATCCCGCGTCAGCCCGTTTCTTGACCGAAGAAGAGAAAGAGGTGGCACGCGCCCGGTCGCTCCGACGCAGCGGTGAAAGCGAGCGGGTGACCGGCATCAACTGGAAGGAACTGTGGCAGACCTTGCTGGATGCGAAGGCCTGGCTTACTGCGGTATGTTACAGTAGCTCTTCCAACCGAAAGTAGTGTACTGACAATAAGATGGTATAGTTGATG